TTCGAATATTTGGGAGTAAGTGCTACATTTTGCGGGATCGAGAGAGCTTGGGTAAGTTTGAATCAAAAAGTGATGAAGGGATCTTCCTGGGGTACTCGAGGAATAGTCGTGCATTTAGAGTGTATAACTCACGTACCCGTGTGGTGATGGAGTCTATAAATGTTGTGATAGATTATGGTGTGAGTGAGGGGGAGAGTGCTAAAAAATGTGATAAAGATGGTGAGCGTTTGGTTTCCAGTGATCCTACTGAACTACCTGTGCCTGAAACATCTGAAAAGGAAACACTTCTAGATAAACATTCTAAGGAACCATCAACTAGGGTTAAATCTAACCATCCTAAGGATAATATCATTGGGGATCTAGATGAAGGGATGAGACTTCGAAGGAGAGTATTGAATAATCTAGCATACACTAGCTATGTGTCTCAAGTCGAGCCTAAGAAAGTTGAAGAGGCTCTTAGTGATGAGTGTTGGGTAAATGCAATGCATGAGGATCTAACTCAATTTGCTAGGAATAATGTGTGGATATTAGTTCCCAGACCAAAAAATTGCAATGTGATTGGTACCAAGTGGATCTTTAAGAACAAGACAGATGACCAGGGTACTATTATTAGGAATAAGGCAAGATTAGTTGCTCAGGGGTATACTCAGGTTGAGGGGATTGATTTTGATGAGACTTTTGCCCCTGTTGCACGACTTGAGTCGATTAGGATTCTGCTGGCTGTTGCATGTACCTTAGGGTTCAAGTTGCATCAAATGGACGTTAAAAGTGCCTTCTTGAATGGACTTCTTCAGGAAGAAGTTTATGTGGAACAACCTAAGGGATTTGTTGATCCAAAATTTCCCCACTATGTCTACAAGCTTCACAAAACCCTTTATGGTCTGAAGCAAGCTCCTAGAGCTTGGTATAAGAGACTCACATCTTATCTTGAGGAACATGGGTTCTCTCGAGGTGGTGCAGACAGGACCTTATTCATTAGACATATAGAAGAAAACTTTACCATTGCTCAGATCTATGTCGATGACATCATTTTTGGGTCTCCTCTAGAGTCTTTAGCGATTGAGTTTGTTGAGTGTCTGCAGAGAGAGTTTGAGATGAGTATGGTTGGGGAGTTGAGCTACTTTTTAGGACTTCAGGTACGTCAGACAGAGGATGGACTGTTTATCTCACAGTCTAAGTATGCTAGGGATTTGGTTAAGAGATTTGGGTTAGATAGTAAGAAACATACTAGCACACCGATGAGTACTAGCTTGAAGTTAGGTTGTGATCCTTCTGGTAAGAGTGTAGATCCTTCCCTATATCGTAGCATGATAGGGAGTCTTCTCTATCTTACAGCTACTAGGGCCGACATTGCTTTTAGTGTAGGAGTGTGTGCTCGTTTTCAGGCAGATCCAAAAGAGTCACACCTAAGTTCTGTTAGATGAATCATTCGATATGTGAGTGGTACTGCGGATCTAGGGATTTTCTATTCTAGGAGTTCCAATCTTAACTTGGCTGGATACTCCGACGGCGATTGGGCCAGAAATGCAGATGATAGGAAAAGTACGACCGGGGGTTGTTTTTACATGGGTAGCAATCTCGTAGCTTGGCTAAGTAAGAAACAAAACTCAATATCCTTATCCACGGCAGAGGCCGAATACATAGCTGCAGGGAGTTGCTGTACTCAGCTTCTTTGGATGAAACAAATGCTTAGTGATTATGGGATTAGTCAAGGGACTATGACTATCTTTTGTGATAATACAAGTGCGATTAACATTTCTAAGAATCCCATTCAGCACTCTCGTACAAAACACATCGATATACGACATCATTTCATTCGAGAGCTGGTTGAATCACAAGTTGTTTCCCTCGACCATGTGTCTACTGAAAATCAATTGGCTGACCTACTTACAAAACCGCTAGATGGGTTGAGGTTCGAATCGCTTCGGTCGGCTGTAGGTGTTAGTTCACCTATTTGATCATGTGTTCATACACATTCATACCTTCATCACATTGCATATGTGTTGCATGTTTGTGTGTTTGTTTAGTCTTAGTTTGCGAGTTTTATTTGTGTGTTTCAATAAAATAAAATTTTTGATTGGGGTTTTGATTATGTGTGTGCCTTATATGCTTTGACTCTGACATGTGCATAGACTCGTACTCTTTTATTCATCATATGTACGACTCTGAGGTTCCATCTAAGTTCACTTTGTCTGTGGAGTTTTGGGTATATGGCTCGTCATTCACTTTTGCACAGTGCACACCGTAGTCCTATAAATGAGTCTTGACCGCATGGGTGAGACTTGGGACATGAGATCTTTCAGTTAGGGGGAGTAAAAGTGTGACAATCGAATTATTTGATATAGGTCCTCGTGGCATTGGATTTGACTATCACTTGGTCGACACATACCTTTGTTGTGTTGCTTTCACGTGTCCTTTCTCACTAATTTAAGGTTTTGAGTCTAACTTGCATGGACTACGTAGCACGTTTCACGTGATGCTTTGTATACACTTTCCTCCACGAGTTATTTGATCTATGTGTGGACTTACGAATTGTCTATATGCTGTGTATCGAGTTTGTGTCTTCATGGTTATGTTTGGGCTCGATTACATATTTTGCTACACATCGTTAAAATTTTGTTACTCAGGGCTATTTTCATAATTTTCAGAGTGTTATGCCATATTTTAAAGAATTCAAAATTTTGGTGCTATTTTTGAAAGTTGCATTTTCGCTCGAGGCTCGCTCCATACCTCGCTCGAGCGATAATAACAGATTCACTCTCGCTCGAGGCTCGCTTAAACCTCGCTCGAGCGACAGTGCAAGGTTTTGAACTATAACTTCATTTCTCGCGTTTCCAGTTTGAAAATTCTCCAAGTTCTTCACAAATTTCATACAATCCTCTGGAATTTCTTCTGTTCATATTGTTAATTGAGTGTTACGACGTTATTACACATCATTTCAACATCAAAATTCCATTTTTGAACTTCAATTGAGGTAAACTTTCCATGTTTTTATTTTTTCGTTTTTTTTTCTTTTCCTCAATTCTTTGCATTTTGCGTGATTCTTTGCTTCTATTAGGTAAATTCTTGGGCTATATCTTGTTTAGCATCGTTGCCATGAAGTTTGTTTCACGTTGGATTTATATTTTCCATGGCATTGTGAGAATTGTGTTGAAATTTTGCTTGTGTTAGTTATGTTTTTCATCGAAGTTCATCGCGTTGGTTCTTGCATTCCGTAAATCCGATTTGCATGCCGTTTGTTTCATATTGTTCGGGATGTTACCTAGTTTGTGGTTGTGTGATTGGGTACGGGGTTACGTATCTTGCGTGCCTGGAAAGTTGTGCCAAAGAACCGCACGCCACATGCTCGATGAAATGCCTTAGTCTATTTAGGTTTGATTTTTTTACATGTTTTGTTGTTTCCCTTTTGCATGGTTCTTCTTCATGGTGTTTGTGCATGGTTTCTTGGTCGGGTGTCGAGACAGGCTATTTATGCTCGTAGGGTCGTTTCGCGTTTTTCGATACATCTTTGTTTGAGGCTCATGTATGTGCACGTGTGTCATGTCACGTTGCATCACTTCACTTGCATTATTCATATGTCTCATTTCTTGCCTCTTTACGCGTGCCAGATGGCTCGTAAGCGATCGCGTCCCTCTTCCCAGCCTGCTAGTGGTTCGACCTCATACAGTCGTTCGAGGTTCATTTCTGCTACTGCTCAGGAGGTCGTCACGTCCCAGTTCTCCTTACGCCCTGTTCTCATAGAGCGCGAGGTAATCCTTTCTGACCTACCAGTTGAGATAGTAGCCATTCTAGTATCCAGGGGTTGGGAGCCTTTACTTGTTGGTCTCTCTCCTCCACCCCCTCTCCTTGTCCAGGAATTCTATGCTAACATCCATGACATTGATGGGTCCTCGTTTCGGTTTTTTCTACGGGGTCATACTTTTAGGGTTATTCCTTCTGCCTTAGCTAGGGCTTTAGGTATTCCGGAGATTACCCATCCTACATACCCCTATATTTTACCCTCTTCTGTTCCGGCCGACTCCCTTGTTCGGTCGACGATTTTGAACACTCCGTCTGTCGGGGGGCCTATGGCGATGGCCATTGGGTCTTTACCCACTGATCGCCAGGTTCTGTTGCGCATTGTGTGCACGAACCTTTGGCCTATTGCCCATACTTCTTCTTTACCTATGGGGCGGGCCCGGTTTTTATATGCATTACTTCGCGGGGATTCGATTGACCTCCCTAGTTTTATTTGCCAGCAGATTCTGGCTTCTTTTCGTACTCCTGGGGGTCGGATTAGGTTACCATATGCTTGTTTGATTCATCGGGTAGCCTTAGCCTTAGGTGCTTCATTTCCTGAGAGCTCGACTCGACGCATTGGACGTCCGATTGGATAGCAGACTATACATCAGAGTCGCTCTCATATTCCCGCTTCT